TACTGTCTGTAGTTTACGCGAGTAGTACATATTTAAATAAGACACTTTAACGGTTTAAAATGCGATATAATTTAGTTAAACTTGTTTGAAAATTATTTTTACACAACCATGTGTGACCACAGCCGCTGCAAAGCATCCGAAACGTCGGGTCGTCGTTAAGAATAATTTTCAAACAAGTTTAACTAAAATATATCGCGTTTTAAACCGTTAAAGTGTTTCATTTACATATAAATGTTGTTTTAGACACTTTTTCCTTTTGCCTGTCTGTAGTAAGGTAAGGTAGAGTAATGTAAAATATGCAGTCCTTAAATAAATCACTTACCAATATCTCTTGAATCCAGGAAATATCAATTACCTAATAACCGGTTTGAACTGGAAATTTACCAGCTATTATAACGTAGATGTCCCCTAGGTCAAGTACAGTGATGCTGCACGGCTTAAGTTCTTACGGCTAATCTGCGCTAATCTTCCATCCTCTACGCTCTATGCAATCACGTCAATGTGTTTAAAAGCGACATAATGTATACAAGTTACGTAATTTTAGCGTGTGGATATGTACGCGAATGTGGATGGAAAATTCACAGGTAAAAAATGTCAATGTAAGATTTTTAACACCTTTCTCAGTCTATAGTTGACGCGAGTAGTACACATTTAAATAAAACACTTTAACAGTTTAAAACGCGATATATTAGTTAAACTTATTTAAAATCATTTCAAATAACTTTAATTAATATATCGCGTTTTTAACCGTTCAAGTGTTTTATTTAAATCTTTCTCAGTTTTTTAAAGGTCTACTCTTAAAGACAAGATGTATTTGTGTTTTGTGAATTGCACTTTTAAATGACGTTCAGTTGAATTAATGGCATTTTAATAATATTTATAAAGATAGGAAACTCACGCGTTCGTTCCCTAAGAAACGATGAGGTTAGCCTCAAGTGACAAGGGCGAATAATTTTGACAGCTACAGATTACCTGTCAAAAAGTATACACAAGATTTTAATTTTTTTTTGTAAGTCCGAGTACTGAAAAACGGTATGTTAAACCGCTATTTTGGTTTCATTTAATAAGAATCATTAATGTTAATAAGTTAAATAGAAAAAATATTGACAAAAATCTTTATTGAATATTCATCGCAGAACTGCCGGCGACATATATATCCACTAGTAGATCAATGCTTCCCCAAAAGCAAGACTTTCTTCTGAAATCTGTTTATCCACATGTTGTGAACTATTTGTCATCTGTTCACAATATTCTACTCACATGTAGGTGTAAAATTGATCGGATTTAGCAGACTGATAGCATCAACAACTAGGCCTCATGTTTTACCATTGTTTCGAGAAGTTGGAAATAAAACTACCGATTTTACAGGGAATATTTATTATTCATAAGATATTTTATTAATAATATATTTAAGTGAGATAAATAATTTTAATTTAGTACACCAACGACTTCATTTCTACCCTAAAATGTTTATGTTAAAACCTGTAGTCTTGTCGTGAGTGTACATAGTTCACATTTAAATAAAGCACTATTAATGGTTTGAAACGCGAAATGTATTAGTGACCGTGACCATGGCTGACGCGAAAAAATCCAAACATCGGTCCACTGTTATTATTCGTTATATTCGTAATAAGTTAAGTAATAAATTTCGCGTTTTAAGCTGTTAAAAATGTTTTAGTTAAATACGTTATATTCTGTCTCACATACACTCATTTTCAAGAGAGACAGCTGTGGAGTCGTTAAAATCTACGACTATATAAATATATAACATTTTTATTGCTTCTTACTTAAAAAAAATAATACATAAGCAATTATTTTCTTTAAAAATGTAAAACGAATAACAATACATATAGATGCTACGCTGTAGACCATTCGTAGACGTACGTAGACCTTAGCTAATTACAATTCATAATATGGATAAGAACAATAAATTTACAAATGAAAAAGGAGATCTTTCATAGCAGTTGTTAACAATAATACCTTAATGTAAATGTAGGTATTATTTATTTAATAACTAAATTAAAGAAACATTAGATATTATTTTTCTAATTCATTATTTCAAGTCAGTGTAAGAACATGTAAATATAACTGATATTACTGCTTTGTTCTTATAGCTTTTTAATTCTCTTTTACAATGATATACTTACTATTGTACTGTAAACTGTAGTTATTTTTTCACAATTTATACATCATCTTCACTACTTTCTATGTTACTATTTAATCTATACTAAAATTATAAATGCGAAATTGACTGTGTCTGTCTGTCTGTCCGGCTTTAACTCCGAAACTACTGAACTGCTTTAAATGAAATTGGGTACACAACTATTTTAGAGCCTGAGAGAGGACATAGGCTACTTTTCAATGCTAGAAACGGGTTGATAGGGGTTGAAAAAGGGGATAAAGGTTTGTATGGAAATTCGTGGTTTTTGAAGCATGAACAATGAAACTTTCTTCTTTGGCCTTTTGGGAATAGGAGTGGGAGTGGGAATGGGAGTTAGAGAAGAAGTGACGTGAGGTGAGAGTGTTGCGGCAAAGTAGCACTTATAACATAGATTGGCTGCCTTAAATGCGCCCTTTCATAAATTAATAAACAGCATAAATAATTACAAATTCTACCCCAAGTCACTATTCAACGCGGACGAAGCACAGCTAGTATCTAATATAATTTAGTGAGGCAACCTTGAAAGTATTTTGATTATGGAAATCCCTGAAAAGTATACAATAGAAATAATTTAATTTAATAATTATTAGTTCGTAGTGTAGTAGTGTTGCTTTAGTGTTACCCTTATTTTTATCATGTATTATTATAAAACCTCCATTTTCAAGGTTGCCTGGAGGAAATCGCTTTTTAGCGATAAGGCTGCCTTTTCTCGCTACATTTTGTTAATTTTGGTTAAGTTTATTTTGTAACATTGTGGTGAAAATAAAGTATTTTTTGGTTTGTTCGTTTTTGTTTGTTCGTATAAGACCCACGTATATCAACATGTGTTTTTAAAATTATACCTACTAAATCTCAATGCAGCTTAATTAAATCTAACACCGAACCAATTATGCATAAAATACTTGTGTTCTGCATAATTAATTAATGATATTAGCATCTATTACCTGCTGATTACTGTGTCCTTATGGGACTATTAATACTAATGTAATGTAAGCAGATCTGTATGTATCAGTCAATGGGTATTAGGGTTGCATGCTGCGATTAGACTTACCTGATAGGACCAGATATTATGATAATCGCTGGTAATAGGTGTGAATTACGTTACAACACTTTAACGAGTTTAAACGTCACCCGTGACCACGGCTGCTGCATAGCATCAGAAACGTCGGGCCGTAGTTAAAATGTTTTTTTTAAATGAGTTTATCATAAATATATTGCTTTTTAATCTATGAACTAGGGACCATATATATGTTTGATTTTTGAGTTGAGTTGAGAGTTTAAAATTTGTGTTTGCATATTCTTCTTCTAAAACTGATATGATCTCATGTTAAAATAATTTTGTTGGTGTCTAAGTGTGTTACCTATAACTATTGTAAGAGAAAAACTACCACAAACATGTGAGGTGTATGTATGGGTTGAAAAAACTTAATAAATAAAGAATTATGATTTAAAAATCTACTTATTTAGAAATAAAAAAAAGACACAAGCGGAGTTGAACCGGCATCCACAGCGATCCGTGCTGCTCACGTGATGTATTCCTAATTCTATGGGTCATAGGAGCTGTTATCATGTGAAAAATAATAGTTTTTTTTATCATCGGTAAACAACCAAAAAAATGTAATTTTTTAATTTTGTATATTTTTATGATTGTTGTTCAGCTATCATTAATATATAGAATTGTGTGATCTTATTAAATGAGATTAGAATTCTGTTGAATGGAATGTGTATAATTATTAAAATGGAAAATGTGTAGATTTGTAAATATTGTTGTCAATTTTAGTACAGTTATAATCTTTAACTTATCAAAATATATATGTAATTAAGCAAACTTGGATAAAGATAGTAAAACAACAGAGAGCATTACATTTTTTATTAATAAAAATCCAACTATATTACATAAAGTTTTATGATAAAATGTACATTTATAATAATAAAGTAATTACTTACTATATACATTTTATGCCTATTTATACAATTTATCACATTTAAATTAACTTATGTTAAGCACATCGCAATGTAACAATAGATAACGTTATATTAAAAAAAATGTTACGATGAATAAGGTTTAGTAAACAAATCATAATTTAAATTTTGACTTCATCTTAAAAGCTTTATTATACTGTGTGAAATAAAGCTTTTAAGGTGTAAATGAATAGTTCAGTAAGATTTTCAACGTATGAAAAAGATCAATTATCAATCAATTGTTTAAAATAATTAAATTAAGTTAGCACGTGTAAGTGGTAAATACTAACAATGTATTTTTATTTTTTTCTGATTACTATAAATTGTAAATTACTTACGTTATTTTAATTTACATACACAAGCAGTCGCGTCGGAATGCCGACGGCAAATTCTAATTGATGTCGCTAGTCCATTACATCTACATTTTCATTCACAGAACAATTCACGTTTCAAACACAATTATGCCAATTAAACATGAAGCGATGATTCAATGAATTTATCAAGAAAATCGTTTGAAAACACGTCGTCGAGCCGTCGCTATCGTTTCGAGAACTTTGCTACGCGGCCGCCATATTGGTTTCCGGCCCTCCCACCCGCTCGCCGCGCCTCCCCATTGGCGCAAACGTCCCGGTGGGCGGCGCCACCCGCACCTAAATGTTGCCAGCTTTTTGAATAAATAATTTCAGTAATTTAAGTAATGAAGGCAATTATGGCGTTGTTTAGCTAAGTTTGCACAGCGAGTGGGAACTTTATATTTATACTCTCTTTATATACGGCGACGCGGTTAATGCGCCCGATCTGTTTACGTAGCGATCCACTTATTTATTGCTCGTTGCAGAGCGAGATTTAAATTGCAATTTGTCTGTGAGGAAAACGTATGGGTCGCGCACCCAAGCGCGGTCCAGAGCACTCAGCGATATTATTCTTCGACTGTACAATCGACAAGTGTAAACAAAGCGATATTAGATATATCGGTTCAATTACCACCAATATGAAAAAAGCCAGCACGAGGACGGTAAACAGTGACGTCACGAAGCGTCACAGAGAACCGATAAAAAGTCGATTTTATCCGCATAAGTTCGGCCAGCTGACTGCGTCCCCCGCGGTACGCACTGAAAAATCCACGGCGAGATTTCAGCGCGAGCGAGACAGGTACAGGCGTGTGGCGAGCGCGCGCGAGCGAGACGAGAGCAGCGCTACGCGACGGCGCGGTGGGCGGTCGCCGGCGGATGATGTATAGAGTGGTAGAGTTAGGTTCAAATTGCGTCGGGAAGTGGCCGAGATTAGAGTCAGTGCGGACCGTACCGCGCGGCGTTCGTAAGCCCACTTAAGACTGTTTTTAATACTAGTATTTTTTACGCGATCCCCGCGAAGGATTTAGCGGATTGAGACTCGTTCGTGCGCTTTGATTTATCGATATCGGTACTGTGTTTATGTTAGTGGTTGACGAATGGTCGCGTGCTGACATAATCCAGCGGCTTCTATCAGATTATGAGGGATATTAACAGACTTCGTAGCGCTCTGATACCGGAGTTGACCCGTTGAACTGTAACGCTTTGTAAACAAACCGAGCTTCTGTGCACTGCTGGTAAGTGACGTGGATCTTATTATGTGCAGTTGCTTAATACTGTGTCACTCAATTTACTTCAAAACAAAATCAATCGCCAACAATGTAGCTAGTTTAGTAAATTCTTAAGTACGTACTTTCCAATTGGTTTGTACCTTCATTCAAAACCATTCGTTGTTCAGTTGTTCGGCATTATTATTCCAAATTCAAATAGCGTTATGCAAAGACTACATCGATACTACGTATCTAAGTAAAGGCAATATTGTATTACTTCCGTTAACAAATCCATAATATTACTGTTTACTGCCTGATTGTAGAATTAGAAAAGTCGGTTTTTTAATTACGGATATTAGTAATGAACACGATAAATGCCGTTGAAGCAAATTAATATTAAAATCGGTACCATATTTGAGATATAAAAAATATAGGTACCTACCCAGAAATGTTTCATTCTTGACCTATTAATTGTCAACTGTAATACAACACAAAAATACAATATAATCGCGAGAATAAACACCGAATATTTTAATAAATGTATTATCTACATTTATAAAATATTTAACGGTCAGAATTATAAGCGAAAACAAATAATGGAAATTTTAAAAATCGTGGTAAATCCCCGATAAAATAATTGAAATATCTTAATTTTTATCGTAATCTAGAGATTAAGGCGGAAACGGTTTTCGTTTGTTCATTTTAATTGCAAGCTACTTATTACGCAACTACAATAATATTAAAAAATAAACCAAAATGCACTGATTGCACTATTTAAAATTTATTTATTATGGTAAAGCAACAAATCACTTAAATACAATACATTTGCTAAACATACAAATTATAATACCCACTTACTTGGTGTACACGACATTGTTAATTTAATATTAGTATTTAAAAGGAAAAAGAGAAATCAAATCTAATTATAATAAAGTATCTATCGTCGCAATAGTTTAATTTATGTACGGTTTTAAAGGTTAGTAGAAACACGAAAATTTAATTATACAGTGGAAATAAACAGACATAACGAAACGGATTAATTATTATATTCTTTTTATATATTACCTGCCTATTAACAATTTACTATTTACCGACCTGATAGATGTTGAAAAAAGGATACTACTTCTGCACTGAAAATATCTTCAAAGTACGGGAATTACAAGTACTATTTATCGTGTGTTGATTCCGTCGGTCACCTACCGTCGGCTAAAAATAAATGAAACTTATCCAAAATTTTACTTAGTACATATTCTTGCCTATGATTTAGATAAAAATTTTGGAATATATTTAGTAAGATTATTTGTCCATTGACATATTAATACTTAATTTAACTGTTCTAATTTATTTTTATGATTGAGAAGGTAAAATACCCCATTTATAGAATATTTATTTTTGCCTTTGGATTTTCGGAAAGCCTAAAATCGTAACGCGATTAAACCTCACGGCTTGTCCATCTCGACGTTGGACGGTGGTTCGTGATCGAACGTAACTTCTATACCTTTCACCGACTTCATATACAATTTTTCCAAAGCCAAATATGATAAAGATGATGTTAGAAGTATTTTATAAAATTGCAACAAAATAGGTTTAGATTTTGATTGTTATATCGTTTTAAAGACAAATCCCGTTGCGCGTGAAGCGGACATATTTGTGTGTCAGGAGATACTTGTTGAGATAACACCGTTTAGGTAACAATCAAGGTAGATTTTAAGTTCTGTAATAAGAAGAACCCTTGGAACAATCTCAGTTTTAGTCAAAACTACATTGATACCTCCAATGCTTATTTAACCCCGATTGGAAATAAATAAAATAAAAAAAGATTTTTAATACCGAACATATTTTACATGTTTTATGTTCCGTTAACAATTTATTTATATTTGTCAAATGTTGTTTATGTCAGGTCCGCAATTTGCGGTAAAAGCCTCCTCCATACGCCTCCGTTCCGCAGAACACGCCTGCGTTTCCTTATGTTTGTCGTGCCACCACCTGAACGGTCTACTTTGTTTCTTTTTTTCGCCTAATGGAGTCCAGCTTATGATAATCTGGGACCAACAGGTGTCCTTTACCAGTAGCAGGTGCTCCGATTGGAAATATAGATATTTATTAATTTAAGAATACAGAAAACAAACAGAAATATCACAGTAGCATAGCGAAAGGAATAGAAAGTAAGCAAAGTACAGATATTTCCTTCTTTGAAATGCTTTTATTTATTATACAGCCTTCCGTGAGATTTTAGGAATTACATAGATTTCCTAGGCATTGCTCGACGTAGGCGTCCTCCAAGGCACACCACTCGGCCCTCATTCGGATCTCTATCTGGATAAATATCTTTATTTTTCAACAGAAAGTGTATACTTACTGTCCGCTACTTTCTCCAGGTCATTAGTCTATCCTGCTAGGCATTCTACACTGCAGTTGTCTAATCTTGCCATTCTAGTATATGTTACCTCTAACGACAATCTTCTCTTATGCAGTCACGGCCAGCCTTTTGCCATTTTAACGTGCCAATTGTGTTAGCTACATCTTTTCTTTGACGGATAATCCGCCATTGATATTGCTAACATGGCTATATTTGAAGGGCTCGTAATCAACGGGACGTGGGTTCAATCCCTACCGGGTCCAACATGTTCCTAATAAATTTATATAAAATTCTCGTGTCACGGTGTTCGAACTAGAACTCCTCCGAAACGGCTCGACCGACTTTCACCAAATTTGATATGTGTATTCAGTAGGTCTGAGAATAGGACAACATCTATTTTTCATCCCCCTAAGTGATAAGGGTTGTTAACCCTTAAATTTTTTTATTTATTTTTTAGACAAAATTTTTAATTTCTATTTTTTTATGATACAACACAACACACAAAAATACATACAATCCTCAATTTTCACCCTTCTACGATCAACTCTTATTTTTTAATAGACATTTTAGTAAAATTATTTATATGGCAAAACAACGTTTGCCGGCTCAGCTAGTAAATTTATAATTTTTCTGAAACATGCAGAACTACGTTTGGAAATCCGGATAATAAATGGGTGGTAGGAATATCGAAAATCCCGTCCCAATCCAACCACCATCCACAAATAAAGCCGTGAAGTTTAATCGCGTTACGGTTTCAGTCTGTGTCAGTAAAAAATAGGTCGATAGCACATCTTGTTTAGACGCTATAGGCTGTATCAAGTGAACTCGATGCTTCTGTCTTGTTGTTAAAAAAGCCTTTTCCATGCGTTAGGTATATATCAGGAATTGTATACAATGATGGATTTCCTACACATTGCTTGCGGCTCCACAATAATTCCGGTGTGGCGGAACCCTATCACAGATATTTGTGGAGCATGTCACTTCACACGGAGCTATCAGCCTCCTTCACGTGTCAACATCGACATTGCCATAAAATCGTGTTATCAAGCCGATACGCGATAGGAACAGATAGATACAAATATTTACCGATGCATATCTCCGAGACACATGTTTTACATTCATAGCCGATTCAATTTCGTGTAATACAGATATGATTGGAGTGTTGCTTGTGTATTTTAAGTAATAAAAATTCTCGTGCATCGGTTCTAGGCGAATTATTACGTGAAACTAGTAATACAAAATGCGAATACTAAGAACGCCTAAGATTTCTCCATTCGTTCTGCAACGGTGTTGTGTTATAGGTACGCAAAAACTCTACCATATTTGGTGATTATCGTATTTAAAAGAAGATTGCAGATGATTGAAATAAAACACTTTAACAGTTTAAAACGCGACATATTTTATTTAAACTTGTTTGAAAAATATTTTTAACTATGGGCCGACGTTTCGGATGCTTTGCAGCAGCTATGGTTACGGGGAGACTAAATGTGGAGGTTATCTCTGACGTTAAAGTAAAAAATTGCTATATATACGCTAGCGCCATCTGTTCTGTCGTGATTGGTATTTGGCGTTTTAAGCCGTAACAGTGTTTTATTTACATGTCTATTACTCGCGTTAACTACAGACAGTATTTATTTGCAGATGATTATCACCAATGATGATCCTTCGGAAATTATTGCTAATTGTAATTATTAATAGGACATAGTGTTAGATTTTACATTTGAAATTCATCATCGACCATAACAATCACGTTATGGTCGATTATTGACATAGTATTATAAGTAGTAAATGCGAGTGGCACACGTTAAATGAAACACTATGGACGGTTTGAAATGAGAAATATACTATGTCATTATAAATAATCGAAAATACATTTTAAAAAATTCGACTTAGGCAGGACTTGAACCGACATCGTCAGCGTTCCGTCCGACGTTTCGGATGCTTTGCAGCAGCCGTGGTCACGGGGAGACTCGGGCCGAAGTTAAAAATCATTTTCAAATAAGTTTGACTAATAAATCGCGTTTTAAACCGTTGAAGTGTTTTATTTAAATGTGTACTACTCGCGTAAACTATAGAGAGTATTTACTCTTCAGTAGTTGAAAGTCAGGAAATCCGTCGTAAAAAACTGAAAGGGAACTGACCCAACTACTACGCTCTTCGCCCGAATAAATTGGAAAAAAGCGATAGGAAGCGTACGGCGCAGAGAATTGAAATAAAAGGATTCGGAAACGTGAACGATAGCGCCGTTCGAGACGCCGTTTTAATAGACCCGGCCACTTTCGCCAACTTAAAGCTTTCGGCTTAAAAAAGGCTTTACATCGGTTTAAAGGGATGAAATCGGCTTCGGCGCGATCGAGTTTAACTTGGCCAAATTACTTGCTCTTAAAACGCAATGCTATCGTAACGTTACTTTGTTATTACGCGTAAAATTGTCAATACAACGTATACATGAATAATACACACACATTTTTTTTTACATGAAGGACGTTGAAAATACGTATGTATAAGTCAGCGTGAGTGGAAACACTATTAACGGTTTTAAATGCGAAATATATCTGTTGATTTATTTTTAATACGACCTGATGTTTCGTATGTATGTACGTGATGACGTATATGCCAAAATAACATGTGTCAAGTTACCTAGTTTATAATAATTTAGTTATACCGTGTAATACTTGTTCGAGACATCTTAAAACCGATTCAATAAAAATGCGAAATCAATGTTCATAACTTGAAGCCCCTCGGGAGCAATTAAATCGATAAATCACAACACTTTTACCTTTTCCCCGTTGCAGGTTTTATAGGCTGAAACATCTCTCCACTGACAGCGCAGTTTGAAATATGAAAGTTGTTAGCCCGTATATTTCCATCAGGTTTTATGGCGTTTGTATTTTACAGCGGTGTGTACACGCCTTAAATCAAGATAATACCATTTTACTCAAATTGATATAGAGTCTCATTAGAAAGTTTTTAAGTGAGATATGTTGAGATTTATCTCTGAGAAATGTTCCGTGGAAGTTTTACGTAGTTTGTGACGTGAGTTGTCGTAAAAATGTAACCGGCAATGGAGTTTTTGCTCGCGTAAGATTCCGTTAACATGAGACTGTAGTTACAATAAATAACTAATATATTTCGCATTTTAAACCGTTAAAAATGTTTCATTTAAATGTGTACTATTCGCGTATACTACGGATAATATTCACATCATTTACCCACATTTTTGATAACTTCACTAGAAACCGAAAAAAGAAAATAACTTCACCATAGATTAATAAGACGAAAGGATATTCCTGTTGTAGGTAGTGATCAATTTTTATAATTACATTATTAATTTTTCCTATCATTATCATAAACGCACTTCATTATAACAGTAGTACTTTTTAGATTTGTAAAGTCAGTTCCTTCATTTCCGCTTTAACGTGTTAAATCCCTTGTTTACAGACTGAGAATGCTACAAGCCTAAACGACTCAACCCTCAGTCGCTGCCGCGGCTTTTTAGACCCCGTGACGAGAAAGCATCACCATTCACCTACGCGTGTACAAAGAGGCGCTGGCGGCCGGGATGGAGCCGCTAAGCGAGAACGGGCTTTGCCTCAGCGAATTAGAGCTGCACGGAGGAGGACATCTGCACGAGTCCGTGGCGGCTTCCGTGGGGTCCGCTATATCCAGTCTCATGGCGCCACTACATCATGAGCCCCAGCATGCACCCTTGCACCATGCCCCACCGCTGCACCACGAACCGCTGGAGAAGTTAAAACGTGAGTACGAATTATTCTTTTATAGAGTAAAATACTGTAAATAAGTATAAGTTCTACATTTTGAGAGTTGACTAATATGTCAAAAGGCCTGTATATTTTTTTGTCATTTGAGATTTGTTTTTCAAACACTAAATAAAGAACTTACTAACCTTGAAATAAGTCTACTTAAAACATTCCTCGCGCAAATAACTTTTTCAAATCCAGTGGATAAGGGTGTTTTTCTAACTTGAGAAAAGACCACAACAAATATGACCGATTGCAAATCATAGATATCCAGTGATAATCTTTTAGAGAATGTAGTCAATGCCACTATTGACACAGTAAAGAAAAATCAAAATTACTTTATGACTACCTTTTTTTAAATTTTTATGTCATTACTATTTAATTCGCTTAAACGCTTTGCGGCGACCATGCAAGAGTGAGACTTCTTCCTTCTATTATCGTTGCAAATTACAAAAAAATGACATCCCTTTGTTAATGTCAAAGTAAAGAAATTTTAATCTGTCCATTAACGTAAATTTATTTGTAGAATTGTTATTAGTTTAATATGAAATTGTAGTTTTTAATAAGTGAATTTGTGGTAAATTACTATATTAACAATAATCCAGTGTCTGTAACCGTTTTTAATATAAATTATTGTGAACCTTATAAAAAAATGACGAATGAACGACAATCTGAATCAAAATGTCAAGTTAGGAAAAATACACTTAAGAAAGGTACAGATAATATAACTTTCGTGTTTAATTAAAATTTGGCTTATTCTCTCTTTATCTTGTTTTTTTCTATAACTGAAAATGTAAACAATAAAAATTATCCATTCTCTCATATCGATCGTAAAATAAAAATTGAACGGGCGTCGCGCGCAATGGGCCGTGACGAGATGTGGGTGCTGTTTGACAACACTTTGTATACAAAATTAGGGATTATTCACCTCCGCCCTCCACGCGCTCTCCTTTCATCATTGATGAGAGATGACATGTAATTATATCTTTTATCGTATTCGCGATAAGATACACGTGCACTTATCAAAGTACCTTGTGTGCCATTATCTGAAGTTAATCTTGAAAGAGACCGATGCTTCGAGTATTGTTCTACGTGTTCTATTATAGTATATGTTTCTTGATAAACAAATTTTTCACCAAATAAGCAGGCACAACTGTTCTTATCAAGTTATCTACGGTTTACTAAAATAATAATAACTACTGTCTTATTAAGAAACTAACTGCATTTAGATTTCTATAAAATTTGATATTTCATTCGTTGTGGATAGTTTAATAATAAGAGAGATTTAATTAAAACACTTTAACGGTTTAAAATGCGATATGTATTATTACACTTACTTGAAAATTATTTTAACTACAGCCGTCGTGGTCACGGGGAGAGACAACTATACCGTTTTAAACCTTTAAATGTGTACTACTTGCGTAAACTACAGGCAATATTAAGCAAAAGACACGTTAACCAAAAATTTCTTTAAAAGTCTTTAAGCACAAATTGGAAAAACATATTTATATATTTTTCCTGCTGACCTGGTAAACGGTCTTTTACTATACGAAGTATTTAGACTAAATTTGATTACCATTGTTTGAGTTAATCTGAAAAGATAGACATATACTGTCTCGGGCATTTTTTTATATTATTTAAAGAAAAATCATTCTTACAGACTTGTTTTGTTTCTTAAACCGTTTCTACCATGGTAGCCTTGTAAGATAATTTTCCCCGTTTATTTCATATTTTTTAAGTCACTAACATTATTGGTATCCTTATATAGCTTAGATTCTTCAATAGATGGTCTATCTAACACAAAAATAATTGTTCATTTCAAACCAGTAGTTCCTGAGGTTAACCCGTTAAAAAAAAACTCTTTAGCTTTATAATATTAGTATTGATAAATAAAAATAAAAATTAAAAAACAATCAACCACCTGATTCGATTATGTATGGAGCCAGAAGCGGGGTTGCGAGCTAATCGGATAGTTTTTACAAACACATCAATATCGGATTACGCGCCCCTTGCATCTTTAGTTGTGCAATTAGTCACGTCGGCCATTTGAGGGTTAGAAATAATGCAACTGAATGATTCTTTACTTCCTTTAAAATTGAAGTAGAGCATCCACAATATCGTTTTTTCGGCCGACTCTCGAAGTCTTAATTATATACATATAAAAGCCTGTATCAGTAGGTATGTTAAAGATTTGCTTTAAATGTTAGAGCTATTTAATCTACACTTTTAGTAAAAATAATCAAGTAACTTGTTGTTGATGTGTTTTAAAAACGAAACAATTTATAAAACTACTTTTAACAACGATCTGACAGTCGTCACTGGGGACTTAAGGTGACTTCGTGGGATTTTTATCATCTAGATCATTGGCCCAATACTTTTACTTACTTGGTCGTATTATATTTTCTACAATATATAGTTCAATAGTAATTCAACTAAGTACTTTATGTAAGTATACAGGAAACAAACCGAAAGATCACAATAACATATAATAAGGAATAGAAATTAAAAAAAAAAGTACAGATATTTTCTTCAGTAAATTAAAACATAAGATTGACGTTAAAATATACAAAATTAAAACCCGTCATTGTTTTTTAAAATTAGAATTAAAATTAGAGTATTATATGATAATTAAAGATAGGAACACTTAACTTCGTAGTACCCACTAAAACGTAAAAAAAAACAATGTATCGATTTGCAATCTATCACTGACGAGCAAAAATAGTAAAGCGATCGTTTTAAGTCAATTTCGATGAATGAACGCGCCCGTCCCTCTTACCCTTGCATAATTCCGCTATTTCCCTCTCCCTCACCCAAAAAACTACCCCTAGATTCGACGAAGCATTATATTGCGATGATTAGGCTCGCACTTGCTCCACCATTGAATTTAAATGGGGGATTAAAAATCCACTGCATTTTATTTATTAAACGCTATTGTATCCGAGTTCATTAGTCAATTGCTGTCGACGGTGAATGATTATCATTTTGTTAGAGGGATAAGATAAAATCATATATCAAATAAACATAAAAAATAAAAATAAAAAGTAAAAATTTAATACTGTCTGTAGCTTATGCGAATAGTACGTATTTAAATAAAAGACATCCATCCATTTAGTGTCCACATGACCACGGCTGCAAAGCATCGAAAAATCGTCGGGTCATAGTAAAAATAATCTTTACTAATATATTGCATGTTTTAAACCGTTACAATGATTCATTTAAATATAATTTCGCTCTCTGAAATACAAAGAGTTTTCCTCTTTGCCACTTATATCGGTACTATAATTATCAACCCTATACTTCCCAATGTTAGGACTGATGTACCCTGTATCTATGATGCTAGGGGATAGATTTATGTAGATGATACACGCCACGATATGTTCGCTAGAGAGAACTGATCTCAATGTTACATATACATTTTTGCTGTAAAACTGAGAATTAAACTCCCCACTACACTACATTAAGTCGGGTTCTTGTGCAACTAGACACTACAGCTCTTAAAATATAAAACGCATACATATTTAAATATACAATATATGTTCACATTCAATATATGTACGTATCTAATATTTTAAGAGCGTTTTATTTTATGTACAGACAAGCACGGAGTTCACTTGACGGAAGGTGAAACCCCAGCCAAATTACATCTAAACAAAATATGCTGTCGACCTTTTTCGGCTTTAGATATTCGAAAACCCATAGACCGAAACGCGATTAAACTTAGCGGATTCTTCAAGTCCAACTCGGTTATAAAAAAAATGATAAGAAACATTTGGGATCCCGTGGCGATCGAACGACCCATTAATACCATTAAATCTAATTAACCATTAAATTGCTACCATTAGGCCAACACCCCGTTGAGAGTGGTACATGCTTGAATTTGAGAAGCATTCTGTAACAATGTTGCAAAAAATACCTCTCTCTCGACGGCTGAGTTTATCCGTCGAAGATTGTTCACACATTCAGATTTTTATAAAATACGCGAAAAACACGTTTCGTGGCTTTAATTTTAAATTGAGCCGGTTTTACGGATTCTTCGCAAAGCCTTCGTTGATTTCGCCTCTGGCGGTGAGATTTTTTCTCGTTGAAAATAACCCTACCTTATTATAGGGTCGGAAAAAATGTTGGAACTAATTATGTGGGATTCCAGCGCTCTGAAATTCGGTCACATCATATTTGATACGTTTCTATAGCTAATACGGAAAATTGTGCGAGGGATGTTCGATATGAATTTTCGTGGGGTATTGGAATAAGTATTTTGTTCACCTGATCACCTTTCTTTATGATAAGGAAGAAAAGACAAGCACGGGGTTCACTTTTGGTAGATGAAATACCGTAGCCATATTACATCTAAATACGATGCGCTATCGACCTATTTTGACTTTGGATATTCGGAAATTTAGCTTGATGTATTTTTCGTCTGCGGCAGTGATTCGTGATTTCAATATTCCTACCACGTTTAATGTCCAGCTTTCCAGACGTTGTCAAACATTTCAAGAAAATACATGTAATGAGTTAAAACGCGAAGCAAATTGGATAACTTATTTACAATTTATTTAAACTACGACCCGAAGTTTTGGATGCCTCGTAGCAGCCGTGACACTGGGTGTATTTGAAATAGTTATTTAGTTGAGACCGTTAAAAGTGTTCTATTTAGGATTGAATCATTAACTGAGTTCGGGATATACACGTCATTATTCAAGATTGATATTTGTTAAGCTTATCGAGGAAGTCTCGTGCTTAAACTGATTCCCGGAGGCTGCGCGCGATGTAATCCGGCACAAATATTTGTTTTACTAGTTCGTGTCGAGATTACTTATCTCGCCTAAATCTGACCGGTGGCTGATACCAACCCGGGGATAGGGTGTGATCTCTCCAATGCAAATACACTCTGTATGCACGCGCTTCAACAAGTTTTACAACGTCTATTCTCATATAAATCAGCCGATGCCTAGTCCTTATTTTCCTTAGTAATTTATGTTGAGGGATCTTAAAATCGG